CCCATCGCGAGTTTCAACGGCGCTAAGTGCAACGGACCGGCTAGACCTTCCCCAAACTACCGTGTCCGTTTCGAACCCCGTTCGACGCTAGAGACATCGGATACCGAATTCTTCTGTGCTGTAGTTCCCGACTGGAGCAGTGTCGTGCTTTGTCAGAACGCCCGCATTACACGAGAGGATAGTCAACTTCGCTGATGCCGTTGAGCTGCGAAGATGGCTCACTGTTCGCGCAAGGCAGGCGTTTGCCACAGCCCAGAGTAAGCTTATCTCCAGGTCTAGATCGAAACGGTCAAGTCAGAAATATCCAGACGCTTGGAGACATCCCCAGATCGAGAATGCCAAGTTTCTATAAAGACAGCCCATTCGCATCTGGGAATCAAACCTCTTGGCATCATCACTCAAACACCATCGCCAAGCATCGCCAAGAACCGCCAACTAACACCAACAGCTAAACACCTAACCCACCAACACCGCCAAAATGCACGCCAGCCTCTACCTCCTCACCAGCTTCTTGGCTTTCACCTCCGCGGCCACTGTTGACCTGGCTCCCCGCAAGGGCGGCTCCGATGACAGCGGCTCCGGCTCCAGTGGCAAGGGCAGCAGCGGCAGCAACACCTGCTCTGTCTGGACCAAGGTCAACAAGGACCTTAACACGCGCTTCATGGCCGGCGACCAGTGCAACGACCTTGCCCGCGCCGCCATCCGTGCCATCTTCCACGACTGCGGCTCTTGGGATACCACACAAGGCTTCAGCGGTGGCTGTGACGGTTCTCTGATTCTTGGCAAGAGCTCATCTGCCGGTGACCCCGATGAGCTCTTCAGAAACGAGAACCGCGGCCTGCAGAACATTGCCAAGATTCTCCAGGATATGGCCACTCAGTACGGAACATCAGTTGCTGACATGATTGTGTTTGCTGGAAGTAAGTTACCCCATGGTCGACGACTTGAAGAAGCCTGCTGACTCTGATCCACTTAGATGCCGCAATCTTCCTGTGCCCCGGCGGTCCCAAGGTCAAGACCTTCGTCGGCCGCAAGGACTCCACTGCCAACGCCAAGCCCGGCGGTCTCCCGGACGTCTTTGCCTCCGCGTCCGACCTCTTTGCTCTCTTCCAGGCCAAGGGCTACAGCGCTGAGGACCTTGCCGCTCTTCTTGGCGCCCACAGCACATCAACTCAGAACTTCGTCGACCCCAGCCAGAAGAACGCATCTCAGGACTCCACTCCCGGCAAGTGGGATGTCAACTACTACGCCGAGACATACAACTACGCCTCTCAGGCCGCCCCCAAGACTGCTCCCCCGGGCGTCTTCGTGTTCCCCTCTGATGAGAAGCTCGCCACGGACACCAAGACCGATGTTGCCGCCAAGTTCCAAGGCTTCATCGGTCAACAGAACAAGTGGGCTAGCAGCTTTTCCGGCGCGTAAGTTATTCATCAAGTCCCGTTTCTACCACATCTGATCTAACACGGATTTAGCATGGAAAAGATGGCTCTTTTCGGAAACGACAAGAGGACCATGACTGACTGCACCGACTCCATTGCGAGGGTGTAGAGCCTCACGGGCTGAGGGATATGACTTTACGATTTCTTTGTTTCAATTCAATGTTCTCTTGAGACTTCTTTATTTCCCAGACTGGCCTTATTCATTGGTGGGAACTGGTCCTTCACATTATGACTCTTATGAACGAATTGTTTATAGATTTACTTCTAATGATACTTCTGATCGATTCAAATGCGACCGAGGTGTGATTTCCCAAAGCGGCTTGGGCTTTGTCTTCATCCCTAAAGACGGTTAAGCGTCGAATTCCGATACCCCCTTTCGCAAGTGCTCAGACACCGGACTGACGCCACGGCTGCGTACCTTACATACAATGACCTAGCCGATTTCTTTCCCAAGTTCGGTTCTACCTTCTGAAATTAAAAGCCATGATTTCATGTGCTCATACTCCCCATCCGGCCAGTGTCTCTTGGCCCTTGTCTGTGAACATTAACTTTCCATTCGTATATCCCACGAACCAAATGCCCAGATATCGCCAATGCCACCACCAGAAGTGGTCCTTCGCCCCGAACCATCCAAATACAAGATCCAAATTATAGCATAAATCGTTGCAGGCACCGAGAACCAATACGCTCAAGATCGCAGCGAGGTGCACGGCTCTAGCGCCATAGATGCGGTCCACGATGAAGGCGTTGATGAGACCGCCCATGGCCCCTCCCATACCGAGTGGGCAAAAGACGATTGTCCACATGAATTTTGGGAGCATGTCGCGCCAGCCTGAGAAGAAGACGATGCTGACAATGAGCATGGCAACTTCAAAGATGAAAGAGTTGATGTAGAAAAGCAAGAAAGGCCGCAGGTAGATTGCTCTGCGCTTGGAGGCTGCGGGCTTCTCCTCCGCAGAGGTGATGATGGGCTGAAAATTTGGCTCAGACATTTCGTATATCGCTTGGTGGATGAGGTTTCCGTATCACAGGTTCATTGACAATGGTATTGTGGGTTTTCATCGAAGAGGATTTGATCTACTGCCAACTTATATCACATCAATTGACTACATAACCGTGTGTTCTTTGACCTTGGGTCTGGCGCGATTACTAAACTGGGAGTTTTATACTCGGCTACGATTACTCCGCTGTTGTCACACAGGCGAGGTTCAGTGATTACCCCGCGACTCGATCACTCATCTGCCGAAACATCAGATGAACCCCAAGAACACGCATCACAAAGACTGAATGGTAAAAACAATCGAGTTTAACTACTGTCCCTAAAGGTTCCAGGCATTCATTGGTCATACAGGTCATGAGCTAATATTACAGACAAATCTTTAGAAAACCATGCATAGCCGTCCCTTCAGCTGCTTCGACAGGTAGTGCTCCGCCATCTCATTCGCCTGCTCAACGCTAAAAGTCTTTTCGATATGTGTTGTGCACTTGTTCTTCGCGTGCAGCTCAATCATCTCCCTGCTGCGCTCGGGTGTGCAAATCAACGCCCCACGAATAGTCTGCTCCTTGAAGTTCAACGCGAATGGGTCGACCTCAAAGGGGCCATCGGCTGGGAGTCCAACATCCACAAGCACGCCTCCCTTTCTCAAGAATTGTTGCGCAAACTTGACGAGTGGTCGAGCTTCCGTGGTGATGACGACGCGGTCAACACCGGGGTTGGTGTCGTAGAATGATGTCTGGAGCTCTTGGATGCAGTTCGACTCTTCCTCCCTGCTGTCGAGGACATATGTGCGGTCGGGCTTCAGGTGCGACGGGACGTCGTTCGCCAAGTCGATACCTTCTTGTCGGTTATCGATCGCGATGACCTTAGCACCCATGGCCTTTGCGTATTGAATGGCCAAATGTCCCAGTCCACCAATACCAACCACTGCCAGCCACTGATCGGGCTTTGGATCCGCTGCCACAAGAGCACCGTAAACAGTGGCACCTGCACAGAACAATGGTGCGGCTTCGGCCCAGGGAATCTCTTCAGGGACCTTGCAGATTACCCTCGCATCCGCCTTCATGTACTGAGCGAAACCGCCATCGACGGTTAGGCCAAGCATGCCTGTCAAGTTGTCGCACAGCTGCTTGCCCTTGTTGCAAGAGTTGCATGACCCGCAGCAGCCATACGTGTTGATGGACCCCACGCGGTCGCCAATCTTCCATCCCTTCTTCTCGGCCTCAGGACTGAGCTTCACGATTGTTCCGACGGGCTCGTGGGAACCGATGAGACCAGGCTTGGCGCCGGAGGAGGCGTAGACGCCTTCTTGGACTTGAAGGTCGGTGTGGCAGTATCCGGCGGCAGCGACCTTGACTAGGACGTCATTGGGGCCAAGCTCGGTGGGAACATCGACGGACTTGACTTCGTAGCCCTTGTTGAAGTCCTTAATGGATGCAGCGCGCATCTGCTGGGGGATTTGGTCTGCCATAGTGATCGACAAATGTTGGGTACAATTCGGGATATCAAAACAGGGTGTTTGATTTATGTGAGAACCTTGAGGCTGAGAACCTTTTAGGCCAGCGAGTTTGAAGTGCTACTTATACACGCCGACCTGGCGATCAGCCATCGTAGATGTGCCACTTTTGCTGTATTTCACGGCTACATAACGATGACCTCAATCTTTTAGTTCCAGTTTTCTGAGGACTTCCAACGTCAGAGTCGGTGGTCCATGCGATGAGTAAGTTACGTCAATCCGCCTCAATGGGCCCCGACCGTTAATCGAAATGTCATAAAAGCGGGCCACGCTCACATCTTCTGCCTCTTGAATTTGATTTCATCCCATGTGTTTTCTATCCATTCCGAGCAGTTTCAGAAGGAGCAAGTTGTTGTTAAAAAAGGCATGAATTCTTGGAGTAATCTGATTTTAATGGTTTTCTTTCGTTCCTGCATCCCTTCTAGTGTCAAACTCCAACATCCATCACCTGGCGTGCCGAAGACGTATTTACTTTGCCTGACAGAACTATGTACCTCTAAATTTATGAACAGCTTCATAAAAATGTACACACGCAATCCAATATCATACAGAAACAAATCTCATACTCCAGGAAAGCGTTTGTCAGTGTTCCAGCATCGTGATGAACCGTGAAATGGTGGGTGCGAGGCGTAAACGCGCAGGCACACGCTCCACCCAGTGGAGCTATCCGTGGCCCCACGGTGGCATCATGCACTCGATCGTGATGAGCCTCTTCTGACCTCACTATGGACATGGTCGCCTCAGTATCCGTGAAGAAAGCAAAGCTGCCGTGATGTTTCCGAAATCCCGACCCCCGAAACGGCTCATTGAGCATCGAAATTTTGCGAACAACGTTTACGTGATTTGCAACGAATTTGAGGCTGACTCGCAACTCTCGCCTTGCATTCCCACCACGGACTCAGCATCTCCGACAATGCGACTGAAGAGAGTGTGAGCCGCTCACGTACCACGGTCGGGCGGGAGTGGTTGATGATGCCGGCAAGTGTGGAATAGCAAGGCACTCCCATGGCTGACCCTGATTTATCGCAGGGCAGAAGATCAAGCTGGCATGTTGCTTCTGCCACGAGGACAGCCTGGTCGTAAATTTTGTTCCGTGAAGCAGAAGCGTCCTTGCCCGTGGAGCGGCGGAACGGGGCCGGCATCCGGGCCCGGTACCGGTCTCGGCCGGCGACGAGCTTGTGGACCCACTTCACCGTGTCCGCGACGGAGCCTAGGACCGAAATGAGCAGGCTTGGTACGTCCGGAAGGTCTACCAATACCCCAATCTTGATGATTGCGTCCATGTTTTTCTGAGTTTTGGTGATTGCGACTGCACAAAATGCGCGCGCTAGGTGGCGCGTTCCTGGTGAATAGACTGGCTACTGCAAACAGCGATTAGCTTCTCTTCATTACCAATCAAGCTGCATCTTCGCATACCTCGTTTCTATCATCGGATACTCAGTCGCTCCAGTCGACATCCAATTTTCAACAAATCTCAGGTCAAAAGCCTAATCAAAAGCCCATAGAGAGTGCATGGGTCATTCGGCCGATGAGACGCCGACGTTCAAACAGGACAAGGGTTGGTAGCTGGCGAAGATGGTATCCATCAACATCTTCAGCCATCACTATAAGGCAGAATTCCAATGATCACAAATGAAAGGGCTACGTCAAGCTTGTCCAATGAGGTCTAGATTTAGCTCGGCCCGAAAGCTGCTTGACATCCGACGTGGCTGGTGATTGAAGGATTCGGGAAGGAATGTCATCCATCAGCCTGGGTCAGTTCGCATGGCAAGCGAGCGTCGCATGCACATGGTATCTTGGGCCTCTGCACGCAGTAAAGAAGGCGGTGGTCCCAAGACATGAGCTGAAATATTTCTAAGCCTGCATGGGCTGAGTATGAGCCTCCGTTGGGGAAATTCTCGTCGTCCGATGGCCACCGGCATGCTGGTGGGGTACAGCCGCACAATTCCAACGGCGGAGTGCGTGACGCAGCAGCATGCACGAGTCGCGCTCACTCTTACAGTCTGGACGCAGGTGAGCTTAATTCTAAGAAAACCTCATCTTGTTTCTGGGCTCTGTTTTAGGCTTCTGGGTGATTGAGTAGTTCAAGAGAAACAAACTTTCTCAAGCGTGATCTATTTTTCTTCGAGTCTTGTGTTTGCAGTCCTTAATCTCCAAGTGCCCGAAGCCTTCAACTGCCTGGGGCTTCCACGCTATCCGGATGCTGGAAAGGTGGGTGCCTCAAATTGTAAGCCGGACCCCGATTACCGAGAGAAGGCCAGCCGCCAACAAGCGCCACGGTACTTCTCAAAACCGCCAGCCGCCCGATGCCGTCTAGTCCGTTGTCCGGGGAAAGCATCGAAGGGGGAGAGAGAGGTTGAGTCGCGGCAGCGGCTGAACGACCCGTGCACAGTTGCACTAATTGGGGTCACGAGCAGCATAGATATTGTGCACAGCTCTTTTGTAATCATGCCTTTCTAGAATAGTCCGAATCATTTGGTGGCCACCACGGATGGCACTGATTGAGTGCGTTTGAGATTGTTTGCTTAGACAACTTACATGAACATCCGACTACCGGAGTTGTCTGAGCGAACAGCCTGGGCGACTTACGTACAATTCCAGGGCACAGGGCCTAGAATCGGACGGGAGCCAAAGTGATTTGACCAGTGCCCGATCAGTGTCATGTTGGATAGGGCGGTTGATCCGGCCTTGCGGGAGGTGGGAGATCATCAGAGCCATGCTCTTCGACACTGAGCACGACACCTGCCAGGGCTGGAGGGGCAGAAAGTGGTTGGGGGCTGCAGACGCCTTGGCCGCAGGGCCCTTTTTCGACAGAGAGACACGGAAGCCTGCTAAGAAGAAAAGGCAACACTTGGTGGGTGGTGGGCTCGTTAGACTTGCATGCGGCCTAGCGCCGAGAAGGAAAGCCAATGTCCTTTTCTTTTCCAGCCGTCACTCACAGACTCAGAATTCTCAGCCTGACTCGGAGGGAAGGATTGGCGCGTTCCTGTTTCATTGCCCAAGGTCGGGCGCTATGTCTGCGGGAAAAAGAAACGGCTCCGCTAGCGCGCGCCGTGGCGGCCTCACCACGCGCCGTTGCTCATTTGCCGTGCAGCACAATTGATGGCGTTCAGATCTTATGTTCGTCCGAGCATTGCGACTAGGGTTCGTGGGAAACAGAAGCAACCCTGAAAGAAAATAGCACAAGCCGGCTGGCGTCGTTTGAGATGTGTTAGTCCTTATCGCAGCTTGTCCGGCACACGTGTGGTTGTACAGGAAGAAACTGCCAGCTAGGATGATCCGGGGTAAAGTTGCTCAGGGGCGGGGTCCAGATGCAAGAGTCAAAGCGATCGACACCTTCAAATCAAAGATGGCATGAGAGAAACTGGATATATAAGAGATGGACTTCGACTGCCGATCTCAAAAGTTCTAATCAGCACTCATCCAGCATTCAGCAGCAGCCTCATCTTCCAGCTCTTCACTTTCTTTCAACTACATTCACTACAACAGTCTCTCACTGACACCTTTTGAGTCTATTCTCTTATACCATAATCACCATGAAGTTCTCCGCCCCCATTGCCCTCTTCGCTGCCGGCGTCCTCGCCGCGCCTAGCGCTTCCGAGCTTTGCACCCGCGAGCTCAGCACCGTCAACACCATCATGACGACTGTTCTCAACGGCATCCAGAACCTCGACACCACTTGCCTGTCTTACACCGGCGGCCCGGGCCCGGAGCTCACCAACGCCTCGACCTACATGCTCGAGATCATCCGCACCGCCACCAACAACGCTGCTGCTATGCTTCCCTTGACCATGGAGGAGGCTCAGGCTTTCCAGCCTCTCTCTGACCAGCTCAACGCTGCTGGTGACAAGCTCCTCACCGACATCTCCGGCAAGGTCACCCTCTTCTCTGCTGCCTGCATTTGCGACACCACCCTCAACTGGGTTGCCCAGATTGGTAAGTTCCCACACTTCAGCTTACAGAAACCTCCAACCGACTAACACTGCGAACAGCCGGAAACGTCAACACTCTCATGACCACCATCTCCACCAAGTTCCCCGCCGGCGGCAAGGGTGGTGATGAGATTGCCCACTTCACCCAGGTCTTCTCCGACATGCAGAGCCAGCTCTCTGAGTGCTCCGGAAAGCCCTGCGCCGGAGCCGGCGGCAACGACAAGAGCGTCCCTGCCACAACCCGCCCCGTCGCCGGCGCCCCCGCTCCTACCGGTGTCACTCCCGGCGCCGCCGTCCCCGCCCCCGGCCACAGCAACAACAGCACCAAGGAAGCCTCTCCCACCGCCAAGGGCACCAACGGAGATGCTTCCGCCACCACCAAGGGCACCAAGGAGGCTTCTCCTACTGCCAAGGGCGTCGTCACCGCCGGAGCTGCAGCCACCTTCTCCGGTGCCGGCCTGGCCGTCGCTATCGCTGCTCTCCTCATCTAAATCCTCTGCTACGAACCCTGGAGGTACTTGCTGGTGGCTCAGCTGGATTGAACCCAACAGCGCAAAATTTGCGAATCTGGGACGGACATTTGCACATAACGAAAATGTACAAAAAACCTTTTTTGGGTAGGAGAGGTTGCGGGTACACGGGCATTGCACCTCGAATGAAGTCACGAACATAGTTTCTTTATTACACTAATTACATGCGGGAGTGGGGTTTATGCAAATAATGTGTAGTCGCCAATACATGTAGATAGCTGGACAAATGGAACATTTAAATTAAAAAAGAACACTCTCACAGTTTCTCACATGTGACTTGCAGCAAATGATTCAGACGATCCAATTTCAGTTGATGGGACGGCTCGTTGGTCTAGCCTTGCCCTAAACCCCTTGCTGATCTCCGCGTTGTTAGCGGGTTTCGAGCTGACTGCTTGTACGACCATTCCCATATGGGAAAAGCAACGATGATAAGGCCATGGAAAAGGAGAATCAGTACATACTCGAAATTTCCAAGCAAAAAACGCCTTAGATTGAGAAATCATTGGAAACAAACATGAAAACCCATCTTGATCTCATTTCACGCAAGGCGAAGTGTCTCATTTTTATATACGCGCTTGAGCTGATGGCAAAGACAATGGCTTTTGGACCCGATAATGATGTTCAATCTTATCTCTACGCGACTAATGGGGCACGGTCTGTTTGTCAGACCACTGCAGCCAGAACCTCTATTTTTAAGACAGCACCACGGAAGAAACGCGGGCCCTTCGTTTCGGCCGGTAGCGTCAGCCTCGCTTACAGTCAAAGTAGCTGTGAGTGTAGAGAAGGAAGCACGTTCTGACTGAAGCCCGGGACCACACAGGAGTATCCCAAGTATTCGAGTTCTCTTGGGTGACTTTCTTGCGGTCTCGATAAATGTTATTTCTGGTGATGTGGAAACGATACACAGTGCTGTGGATTATGAAGTGATACGTTTGATAATCAGGGTGCGCATTTCGGAAGTCTCAGCTTTTGTTCCCAGACATGCACCATATGCTGTCAAACCTGCATGCTGAGTGTCTCTCATTCACAGGCGTGAAGGCTTAGAAAAAGAACCCGCAAGTCAGCATGGTCTTAGGCATCGTACGGCCCAGACATTTTTACAAAAGATTACCAGCCATACTAATCTTAGCCACAAGGCCATCTCGTCTGGTCAAGCTATATGGTCTGACTCCTACATATGGCGGTGGCAATCTCTGAGGCCAGACTTTGGCTAGCGAGAAAAGAAAATTCCCCCTTGCCACACATACTCAGGAATGCTTGTGTTAACCGTGAGCCTTGAATAATGGCTGAGCAGATAATGATGAAATCCCATCGATACATTGCACCTATTGCTATATTCTACTCGATTCGGATATCAAGTTGTCCATCCAATATCCATGAAAAGGCTTCCGTAGGAAGCTCTAGCCCACACTGCAAGGCATCGACTTTGTGGACTATGTTACCGGCCTCATTTCGATCTGATATGAGTAGAAATGTGACTCGGCTCTCGGTACCTTCCATGAGTATAAGCCAGTGTCGTCGACCTGGCAGATTATTACTCTCAAAGTCCCATCCCTCAGTCATCATTACAATTTCTTGGCTGTGGTCAGTGTCTGCGATTCGAACATAATAGTCGCCTTTCACATCCGATGCGACTACCTCCTTTGCGCTCACTTCGATGCCCCCATCTCTGATCGTGACCTTCCGCCGTGCTGGTTCGATAGTGCATTCAGCACCCATTAGCGGTACTTCGTTTTCAAGAGCCGGCACCCAGGAGGGACTAG